CGTCGTCGTGTGTCGTCGTTGTCGCGTCGTCGTTGTCGCGTGTCGTCGTGCTCGCGTGTCATCGTCGTCGTCGTTCTCGCACGTCGTCGACCTCGCACGTCGTTGTCGCGTGCCGCTGGCACCTGTCGTGGTGAGAACTGGGCATTGGGGTGGTGGGCATACGTACCCTTGGCCCATGACGTTGCCACGTCATGGGCGTTGTCCCTCGTTCTTGGCCCGTCATTCCGCGTTGGCGTGGGCGTTGTTGGCGTGGGCGTGGGCGTTGTTGGCGTGGGCATGGGCGTTGTTGGCATGGGCGTCGTTGGCGTGGGCGGCGTTGGCGTCGGCGGTGTCAGAGGACAGTGGTGGTGGTGGAAGGGAAAGGGATGGTCACGGATGTGTGACCATGCCGCAAACAGGATACGTGACGATATGGCACGCCCTCAAGTAGTCACGTGATCTCACCCCGCAGACTGAACAAAATCATGAATCCTTATTGCAGCTATCACTACCTATACTAATATCTATAACATTACCTTTCCATTAATTGATTAATAGAATTATAAGTCTGTATAGTGTATTTCGCTTTTTTTGTAGTATTAATAATAATAAGTAATAAGCAATAATGCACTGGAATCCACTGGACTCCAGTGGATTCTGACTGGACTCATAGTCCACTGGACTGGGACTGGACTCAGAAAAGTGGCTTGTAGTCCAGTGAGAGTCCAGTGGACTGGACTGGACTGGGGATTGTGCAAGCCAATTTGGCCTGACAAATGGGCCACTGGAATCCACTGGACTCCACTGGACTCCACTGGAATCCACATGGATTACGTGGGGGATGGTAAAGACCTCCATCTATTGTGATGAAGTGGTCATAGAGAAGAAAAAAAAAGTGGAAAGGCTTTCAGGTTTTTGCTAAGATTTCCAATTCCAAGTGGAGGCCAGATAGTCAATTTAAAGTTCAGTTCAATTGAGGGTTTTTTCATTCCTGAAAAGCCATTAATATGAATGCTTTCAATAATAGGTTAAATATATTTTGCCCAGTAGGGCCAATCAGACAGTCCTGCCTACTTACATAGCATACACATATAGTATGGCCAACAACACCATCATATAATCTCAATTTTCTTAAAAACTACATATGTTGGAATCAAGTATTGTTGTCCTGAGTGTTTGGCCAAAGTCTTCTTTGTCATAATATTTGGTACAATTTATTGAAGCTGAGTGAATCTGTCAATCCAAAGTCTTGTCAGAGTCTTCATTATCAAAATATTATACCATGGTATTGTAATCCCATGTTGCACTCTCATACCATACCATACCATGGTATTGCACTCCCATAACATACCATACCATGGTATCACACTCCCATACCATGCCATACCATGCACCCTCATACCATACCATGGTATCAGAAACCATGAGAAGACCGTGACACGCAGGAGTGAGGAAAGTGCAATCGGACGTGCTGACAAGATGCGTGAACACATAAACAACACACACACACACACTAACACCTTAAACACTTATCACCACAGGTATGTGCTTG